TAATGTAACAGCATAATAATGCAAGAAGGCCTACACACTTCCAAATGACAACAAACTTTTAATTTTTAAGAATATTTAAATCATGGGAATTAAGTATCAAAATATTAGATACCTTAAAAAACCTGAATAAATAGTAAATAAACATTTTCTAACAAAAAGTGCCAAGTAACAAGTAGAAAAAAAGAAAAATGCACAAAGAACTTCTATGGAGATTTTTCCATCTACAGATTTTTCCCGGACCTTCTTTTCTCTGTAAATTAAGCGTACATACTATTGCTGAAAAACACAATCACTACTTAGCAGTCAGATGTCCGTATGCACAAAGGCACAGATCCCTAAACAAGATCAAATCTGCAGATGAAACTTTTTTTTTTTTTTGTAGAAGCATTTTTTTAATTTGAACTAGCACCTCATGACTACACCGCGTTATGAATGAGAAGCTGCAAAAGACACTGGCGCAATTGGAATGTACCAAACATGGTGGCATTAATTTTTAAGTAAATATAATGGGCGATATATTGTGTCACCAAAAATTATTGAGGTCATGTACATATATTGCGCGATAAGTCGATATATTGATTATTGCGACGGGCCTAGCTGTTAGGTCACAAATGGCATGCATAGAACTCTTTAGATAGCTTTCTTTATTTCTGCTTAATTGGAACATGTTCTTAATTTGTTTATTACATATATCTAGATTTTAGCTGGTTGTGTTTTAACTACAAATAAAAGTGCAGCACTTGACTGCGCAGTTTTGAGGCCCATTCGCACTAAGAATGCTAACCATAACTAAACTAGCATCCACACAAATGGACGATAATGTTAGTTATTGTTCTTGATGTGAACTTGGTGTGAATGTTATTTAACACATTTTAGCATATGCAAGTCTGTTATGCAGAATTCTGTTGATGATCACAAACAGGGTAACAGAGTAAGGTCTCATTAATGAGATTAATAATTAATAATAAACAATGAGCAATAAATTGGTTACAGTATTTATTTTTTGAATTTTATTCACGTTTTAGTAGATCTGTAAGCAAAATTAAGTGCTGTAGATGTATTGTAGTCTTTTTTTGTGAGTTCATGTTAACTAATGTAGTTAACTAATTTGTTCTAGTTCATCTCTTAAGTCAGTTCAGACCTCTGTGTTTTTTGTTTCCTACTGAGGAACTCAAAAGATGTTTGATATAATATAAAAATGAAGATATAAGAAATTTTTGTGACCGTTGACTTTCATTGTTAGGGCAAAAAAATAAGATATTTCTCAAAATATATTGTTTGTTCATTTTTAGGTAAACTATCCCTGTGCACACAATACCTTATGAACTCTTGATATGGTTATGTCTCTTCAGCTCGTGTGCTGAGGGAAAAGAATAGGCCGCGGTCACATGACTGTCATCTCTTCTGCTGTAACGGAGGTGTGAGTTGCCATGGAGTGCTGCTGCCTTTTCATGTGCTCTCACAGCACTCAGACACAAGCAGAGAGGATGGTGATTCTTTCAGGTGTAAATACTACAGGGATGTATGTGTTGGATGGCTCTCATTTTGATGGAAACAGTTCTCAAATACCCATGCCAAAATTTTAAACTTGTACTCCATGACATCCTTCTCATATGACTATTAAATTAGTTCAATAGTGCTGAAATAAGTGTAGTAATGTTGTGGGTAGCGAAGTGAAAAACCATATTTTAGTTGGTGGGTTCTCTGAAAAACTTGTCAAGGAGGACATGTTTAAATATGCAGTGCTTGGTGCCCATGTGTCTCTAAAAAACATAATTTTAGTAGGATAACTAACAGACAGTCATTAGATAATTGGTATAAATATCCATAACCCGTATGGAAAAACAAATTAGTTTTCATTTAGTTTTCAAATCAAAGTTTTCATTTAGCTGAAAACCAAAAATTCGGTGTTCTGTTTAGGTCGTGTTCTCAGGTGATAAATTAAACCAGTTGTAGTAAAGCCTAACGAATTTGACATATTGCTATGCTAGCATAATTTTTGGCCAAGGTGAAGTGCGTCCACAGTTACCTGTTAGCTTTCCACGTTGTTTGCGCTACATAGATGCTAACACATTCAAAATGTGTCAGTGGAGATGTGCTAATAAACAGCAGATTGTGCTGGTTTTAACT